CTTTCGGTGGATGGAGATGTGATATCAGGGATCTCGTAGGGTTCCTGGACTACTTTGTGCCGGGATAATCTAGGACGTGTCCCGGAAAGTTTTATCGGAGGTAGGATACCGTTAAATTGGTTAGATGCCAATTTTTGGGAGTTGAGCGCAGACGCCTCTGAGGATGAAGTTAAGATGTATGCACGGGCACACATACTGCAGTTGATAGGAGGGTTGCTGATGCCGGAAAAATCGCACAACCTAGTTCACTACATGTGGTTGCGACATCTTAGCGACTTTCGTCTAACCAGATCATTCAGTTGGGGCTCGGCAGTTTTGGCTTTGCTATACAGGGAGATGTGTGGAGCCACTGACTACAGGCGTAATGCTATCGGCGGATGTCTCCTACTGCTGCAGTCTTGGGCATGGTATTGATTGCCCTTTTTATGTCCCGTTGTGAAGAACCCATTCGTATTTCCACTACTTCTGAGGTAATTATAAAACTGATTTTGTATATTAATAATTTTATACATCGTATAATAATTTTTTTCTTTGAATAGGTGGTCTACTGAGAGGAAAAATCATCAGGAGCTACCTGATGATTTAGAAAAAATTAGGGTGCTAATCGATCAGAAGACTGGCACACAGATATGAATTTTAATGTTTAAAAATCGATTTTAGATTATAGTTATATAATTAGATTATTATTTTGATAAAAAATTATATAATATTTGTTTTAATTTGAATGAGTGCCATATTGTACTAATGATGTGAGGGCGGTGATCTCACTTGAGTTGAGGGGCCCATTAGATGTTTGGATGGCGATGGTCCCTCTGATCTGTTATGCGACCGTCGAGTGGCACTCTACTGATCGCGTGCTCCGACAGTTTGGTTGTTTTCAACCAATTCCGGAAGCACATCGCAATATGGACGAGTTGCATAGCTTAGATAGACGCGACAAGACAGATACAGATTGGCTGGTGAGGCATCATGAGTGGGTCGTGTGGTGGGAAGATCGACATCGGTGCCTTCCCCGTAGAGAGCCCATCATATGCGTTCGTCCACATTTCTTTATCGATGAGGCTGATGTAATCGTATCATTCCTCGTTCTTCGCCCGCAAATCTTGAAGCATTGATTTAAACGTTCGAGGAAGTAGTTCGTAACCTGATCAAAAAATGTATAACTTACTAACTTGCTTTCTTTGTAAAATTAAAACGATTGAAAGAAAACAAACTACATCAGTTTCACTTACCCATTCGCACAATTAATTGACGCTCATCATTCTTCTTATACCTTCCATGATCTTGCTTGGCATATCATTTCAGAGTCCAAGTTGGGATGATCTTGGTTGACCACTCCAGCACAACATGTGTGAGGACCGTTGTATATTGTTAGTTTCCATATGTTGTTTTTCCTCTTCATTTTCGATACGCGAACCATCCAATTGCATCCGTTTTCGCTTCGGGCACAATAGCATACATATTTTTCGGTCGTCGATCGATTGACTCTGGACTGAACAGAATTACGGATATTGTAATTTTTTATAGCCATCACCGCTTCTTCTTTGCTTGAAAACTCCATGCCTAAATATAACTCACCATTATTTATTGATGAGTAATATCCATAGTCACCGAGATGAGGCATATCCACAAATTCTGGCCCGTACATTGCACCATAATCAGCTTCATACATGTGTGCAGGAGGGTCAGTTTGTGCCACATTTCCTGGAACTTTATCATCATCGGAGTTGAATTACGGTGATTATGGGTAAATGAATAGTCCAGTCTCAGCACCATCCGCACCAGGCTCACGAAGCGGTTCTTCTGATGGAGATGATGGTTCCTCCATGCTCTCCACATTTAGGTTGAAGAACCTACTACTTGCACGCATTCCCCTTGAACTGGAAGGCATATCGACATTGAGATCGAAAAATCTCGCAGTCGAATGCCTCCCCCTGGAGCTTGAAACCATCGTGTCAAATGGAAACTGCACAGATGGTTGCGTCGATGGCATCTCCATATGGTCAAAGAAATTTACAGATGAATTCCTTCCCCTTGAACTGGACGCGGTGTTGCCACACGGATTGTTCGTAGACCCACCTCGGTACATATCGTAAGGAGTTGCGGATGAATATCTCCCCATTATGGCATTAAAATCATTACACATTACTGTAGTCGGGTTGTCAACTTGATCAACTTGTTCAGCCATCCCATAGTGTGAGCTTAATGATTGACCCCGAACAGTACGCACTTGAACAAAATGTGCATACATCTCAATAGCGGTGTCTGAATAATTACTTTGAGCTTCAACCATCATTTGAACATCATCATTGTTCGAAAGTTCGAACGCTGTATAAGTTAATGGCAACAATGATGTTGGAAATCTGTACTGCAACGACGACATTCTTCTACTACTTCCAACATGAATCTTCCTCGAAATCTACATTATCAACTCCTCAAGAGTTTTGTTTCTCTTAAATGATATTTTAACACGCTCATTTGATACGAAAACAACGCCGGTTTCATCTTCTCGAATTTCACCATCATAATAAACAATAGTTGAAAGTCACGCTATTCTTTGAGTTTAAAAGTGCGGCAATATTATAGCTGCAAAAAAATTAACTAAAACAAACCTGATTAAATAAATTATATATGAACGAAAATATAACACAATAAATTTTTTACATATCAACATAAATAATTTAAATAATATAATTTTATATTATTATATGTACCACAAAACTATTTTGACATATGCTCATGCTTTTCAATTTTACAAACACAAAAATTAATTGAAAATAATTAGTATAATATTTTTCAAATAATCATAATAAACAATAAGTATAATAAAAAAAATTATAACAAAATTTATAACGAAAAATCACATGAACTTCTAAATCAACTATGAGAAAATTACCAGAATTATTACTCGTTGACGGAATTGTTGTATTAATTTATAAGTTGAGAGGAGAGATGTGAGAAACTTAACCGGGAGTGAAGGGTATTTATAACCATATAAGGCTCGATACCTGCACCGCGCTATATGTAATTATTTAGATAAAAGGTCCGTGCTAAATATAATTCATACCCATGTATAGCGCTGAGCAGGGGCGGCATTATACCCCTACGTGGCGTATAGCGCGGATCAGGGGGCGCGCTATACCCCACTTGTTGCCAAATCATTATATAGCGCAGGGCAGTGAGCGTGCTTTACTGCTACGGGTGTTAGATCGGGAAATATAATCTGACCGGTATTAGATCGATAAATATACCGGTCACCAGTGATTTTTCGAGAAAAACGCCCTTTATCCCTTGCTCTTTCTTTCTACCTTTTCCTTGATTCTCATCAGTTCAATCCCTTTAGGCCTCCTGATATGTTCCCGTCCGCCTTTGGCAACCCCCAAGATTAGAGGCCTGAGAAGCATAGAGTTGGATTACGAATGTGATGTGTTTAATGGAAAATGGGTTCTTTACCCACAAGGTCCTTACTACACCAATGAAACTTGCCGCCTCATCATCGATCAGCACAATTGCATCAAGTTCGGGAGACCCGACTCCGAGTTTATGAAATGGAGGTGGAAGCCTGTTGACTATGAACTACCCCTCTTCGATGCAACTCAGTTCTTAGAGATTGTCCGAGGGAAGTCCATGGCCTTTGTTGGTGACTCAGAAGGAAGGAACCAAATGCAGTCATTATTGTGTCTCTTAGCTGATGTAAGTCTCTAACCCTATTTTCTTGCCACCATTTGAACTCTGAATCTGATGCATGTTTTGCTTCGTCTGATCTGTTTCTTTCAGGTAGCAGATGCAAAGGACATTTCTCATAATTTTTCATCATACATGAACTATTTCAAACGTTTGTTCTATGGTGAATACAATTTCACTCTTCAAGCATTTTGGTCACCTTTCCTGGTTAAATCTAGAGATGCAGACCCTGATGGACATTCATTCAACAGCCTAATGAGCCTTTACTTTGATGAAGCTGATGAAACATGGCAAATGAGATCGAGAATTTCGACTATGTGATCATATCGGCAGGGCAATGGTTCTTCCGGCCGCTGTTCTTCTACCAAAATGTTCAACTTGTTGGGTGTCACAAGAGCAATAAAAAAGAGATTAAATTTTATGATTGGATGTTGAATTATTTAATTTTATGTTTCGAACATTTAAATTTGTGTATTTTTTTAATTACTAATTTGGAAAAAACCCGGATATCCGGGTATCCGAAATTCGGTTGGGTTGGGTTGAGTTGACTCTATCTAAGTTGACTCAATGGGTTGACTCACGAGTTAACTCAACCTTTCTAGAAGTCTCGGCTGGGAAGCAAGCCCCATGCATAGGCGATGGTGAGTGGTGGCGTGTGAGACGACGACAAGGGGCGGGTTGATCAACCAATTACTCCGGAAACTTCAACAAATCAAAATTTATTTTCATATATGTCAAATTTCACCCCAAAAAATTCAAATCAACCCAACAAACGTACGAAACCTTACCTAATCGGTGATCGACGGAGACAACGACGGTGAGGGACAAACTCGACTGGGTTTTGATCGGAACGGGACGGGGAACCAGATGGTGGTGGTGGTGAAGCTAGACAGTCGCTAGATCGACCGGAATCAAGCAAAAACCAACGTGACGGGGAAGTTATTTCGTCGCATGCTCGAGCGCCAATTTGTGACGAACGGAGGCGTTTCACGATAGAATGAGGGTCGGGTTTTGGTCGCCAATTTATGACGAACGCCTCTGAATCATTCAGCATTTGAATCATTTAGTGCTTAATCATTTTGAAGTAAACAAACTTCCCCTTAATATGAAAGTATTGTTCTTCCTATAGATTTTAAATTCAAATAATTGTATATACAAAATATGTACACATTATTAATGATTAAAAAATTCTGAACATATTCTATCTTATAACTAATCTTATATTATTTAAAAATATTTGTATTTATATAAATTCATTTAATGTTAACATACATATTTGTTTATAGCATTTATAAATATTAAACCAACATGTTATATGGGAAAAACAATGAGGTGATGTATATATATGGGATTTCAAAATAAGTTTGGCAGAAAGCACATAAAAATATTTTACACAACACAAATCCTCTGATATAGAGGAAAAAACAATACAATCTCCATTCTCCACTGGACTTTAACCCAACCTATAGCTGAAAAAACGCAATGGGATGTAATCGACTCGTTGAATACTATAATCTAAGTATAACAAGAGACTTGAGACTAGTATATACAATCTACGTTCCTTCCATGGAGCTCACATGCATTAATTCCTCATTTTGCAAAATTTCTTGCCCCTGAAAAAACCATGTCAAATGAAATACCAGCGGAAGGGATGAGTGAATCAACAAAGAGAAGCCTCGCCTCTGGAGCCTAATGGCAAAACAACGACGACATGCATATCGGCATTGTTGGGCGGAAGCTGTAACCGAAGAGGATAAAGCTTCCCGTTCAAAGGGCTGCGGGTACACACCACGATATCCTCGTGCCCTGTTTCTTCCATTAATTTATGAGTCAGTTCGGCCACATTGTTTCCCTTGAAACTAAAAGAGTGCCCTTCCGCTGCCTCATCATCGGCCTCCCCATTGTCGTCCTCTACACGGTAGTATATGGTCCTACAATCGGATTTGTGCGGCGAATCCACATAAGAATCACTCGACCGAGCCGAAACTGCAGAAGGCGAAGTAGGTTCCAAATTCAACGAATCTTCATCAGGAACGGCAGGTAGAGACTTGACTTGAATCTCCACAACATCAACATCCCACAGCACCCAATCTTGAGTAGCAGTTTTATGAGGAATATCGTGAGTCACCGAGTTCCTCCAAGGGGGTAACCCTCCATTGGCTCTCAAGAAGTTACCGTACCGGGTCTTGAGCTTCACGTGATTCCCTGCACTAAGGGGTTCCCACTCGACCGATGAGTCGAGCCTCTTAGGAAGCGATTGAATCACCTTCCGACCGGTCGTCCCGAGTAGAAGGGGTTGGTTCGAGGCGGTGAGATACTTGTTGTAAACGCTTTTTAAGCGGGTGATGTTTTCGAATCCGGGTACCAACTCGACGATCCATCGGGCGTTTTTGGATGAGCCGTTCCGGTCCTGAGAAACGGATTCTTCGTCTTCTTCGGCGACGAGATACTTGTCGTGGTGACTCCGTAGGCGCACCGCTTTGGCGTTGAGGAACAAATCCACCGCCGCCACCCGATATTTGTTAGAATTTGTCTGTTGAACAAAATTGAACAAGGAGGTGAGCAGTTAACAAAGACCAACCAAACTTTGGTTTAATCCAAGTTTGTTTTCGTCTGTCTGAAAATGAAGTCTTTGAAAAGGGGGATAATTACAATAAATGACATATGTTTATATAATTTTATGTTGACCCTTTAGCTCTTTGGTCCGTAATCACAAAAAAATAACCGGTTTAACAAAGGTGACTGTGACTACATAACATAGTTCCAGATTTAATACCTTCATATGACCTTTTTCTGGGGAAAATACGAGCATATGTACAAGGTGAAGAAGACATTGCCGCGAAGGGGAAAAAACGAATAAGAAGACATATAAAATTATTTTATTATATCATGTGAAAAAGACAATTGAAATTAATTATAACATGAAATTGAAAACTAACGTCAGTGTTACGTTTTTGCCCTTAAATCCTTTATGTTTCATCCAAGTAATCATTCATTTGGCCATAAAACTCTCATTAAAAGGTGAATCCCACCATGGAAAATTCTTTAAAGGTCGTCACCCTCACTACCATTGATTCTCACCTAAAAAAGAAAACCACCATAAAAAAAATAAAAAAAGATTGATCATTTTGATTCGATTTATTTCATAAAAAATATGTTTAAAAAAGTAGATTCAAGATGAATTTGACGATAGAATTGAATTTAAGGTCAAAATTCTTAACTCCGTTGTCTAAAATAATAACTATAATATGTCTTTCTACATATGTATAAATAACTACTACAATGTCTCTATATGTATTTTAATTATCTTTCTATATTGCTTGATAAAATAGAATTATGCATAGTTTTACTAAATACCAATTCGTTCTTCATTAAGTGACATTTCATGATTCATTAATAATATCCCAATACCAACATGATTTTGTTCTTAGTTTCACATTATACAAAAACTATACGTTTCGATTAATAGAACGGCGTAGTATTGTCTTATCCATACATCCACATCCCAAATGTCAAAACAATCCAAATGTCTTAATTACATACACATAATGGGCTGAATTTATCAAATAATGCAATTGAAAAAAAATTTGTTCGAATAGGGTACTCTCGAAATTATTTCGTGAAATAGAGTGAATGCTACAGTAAATCCGAAGACGCATTGGAGTCCAAACGACTTATACATAAATTTGGGGGAGACGCGTGAAGTGCAATGCGTCTCCCAGATTTTTTTCACCAATTTCATTCCTATGTAAATGTACAAAGGGTAAATTACACAATTAATCATTAACTTTATTCTCTCTTCAAATTAATTAAATACAACTACACTGTTTTGGACAACAATTTCAATTAGAAATTATGTAAGCACGATGTTGGTTTCTTTAGTACACAAATTAAATGCTAGAGGTGATGGATCAAATTGGCTTCCATATAACAATTTGAACAATGGTCGATGAGTGATCAAAATATGAGTAAAACAAAAATTGAGTGATTAAATTGAAAAAAAAAATTAAAAGTATAGTGAGTGAATTTGGAGAGTGATTAAAGTTGAATGATTAATTATGTAATTTAGCCTAAAAAATATGGGAGACGCATTACACTCCATGCATCTCTCATATTTTCAAAGGGTAAATTACACAATTAATCATTCAACTTTACTCTCTCTCCAAATTCACTCACTATACTTTTAATTTTTTCAATTTAATCACTCAACTTGTGTACTAAAGGGTAATTTTTTCACTTTTTCATAAATGTACAAAGGGTAATTTTTTTTGGAGCCTAAGCATTGAATTTGTGTATTAAATAAACCAACATCGTGCTTACATAATTTCTGATTGAAATTGTTGTCCAAAATAGTATCATTATGATAATATCTCGTGTATTTTAAATAAAAATTGTTTTATAATTAAATTAATGTCAAATATATTCGTAATACCAATTTAAATTGAATATTTAGTAGATATAAAGTTTATATATATATTTACACGACTAACATAAAAATATGAATGATTAATTGTGTAATTTACCCTTTGTATATTTACATAGTGAAAAAAATATGGGAGATGCATTGCACTCCATGCGTCTCCCCCAGTAAATCGCTTGAACTCCAATGCGTCTTCGAATTTACTGTAACATTCATTCTATTTCACGAAATAATTTCGCGAGTGTCCTATTCGAATATTTTTTTTTTTCAGCTGTGATAAATTCAGCCCACATAATGTATGATTTTAAACAATAATATGTCTTAATACCATTATTGATGTTAACGTGTTCTCATTTAACAAGCTTTCCCGGGAAAATGGATTAAGGGTGTTTTTTGTTCATACCACTTAGTCAAACTTTAGCTTTTTCCTACAATTTATGTGTCTTTAATTCGTAGGTTTAGGTTTACAATGACAAATTAAACTATCATCCGTGTCTTGTCCTTTGTAATATTCATACGATCAATAATTTGATCAGGACACCAAATTATGATAAATTTCAGAAAAATATTATATAGTTAGTCACTTGCATATTTTTACAATTTTATTTTAATTATCTATTTTTTAAATTATATTTAATGTTACTTTTTTATTTTATTTTAACTACATAATATTAAAAATATTATAATTATGTTTATTTATTAATAGTGAGCTATCAAAACAAAATAAAAAAAATAATGTTTTGAAAATAAACCCAAACAAAACAAGGAAATAAGGAGTAATGACTAAATAAGCATATTATCCTAAAATTAATTAACAAGTTAATTAAGTAAAAAGGTTTAAAAGCACAGCACGTACCTGTTTGGGTGACCCTGTTGAAACCATTGAAAACCTCGTGGACTTTACCGACGACACGGCGGAGATCGGCGACTGCGGCCCTGACCCGAAAACACCATCGCTCAAAGTCTCCAAAACCTCATCGGACACCGAAGAAAATCTCGAAACCGATGATATATACTCCAATACCGAATCTGACTCCGGCACCTGAACCACCTCCACATCCCATAACACCCATCTCTGCGTCGCACCGGTATGGGGTTCGTCATGAGTGATGGAATTTCTCCACGGCGGCGTTCCTCCATTCGCGCGCAGAAATTTACCGCACCAAGACCTGAACTTGATCTGGGAGCCGTCTCTTATAGGCTCCCACTGGAGTTTCCAATCCATCTTATCCGGTACCGTTTGCAGCACCTTGTTACCCATCATGCCTAAAAGAAAGGGTATATCGGTGGCGGTCAAGTACTTCCCATGGCAACTTCTGAGACGGATAACGTTTGGTTTATCATGAACAAGCTCGACGAACCACCTAGCTCTTATGCCTGAGCTATTTCGGCTTTGACGAACGGTTTCTTGATCGTCGTCGGCCACTAGGGATTTCTCCAGGTGACTCCTCAATTTCACAGCCTTCGCTTTTGTAAAAATCTCCATGCGCGAACAGTACCAACCTCAACGAAAGAAAAAAAAAAAGGTTGGGTGGGGGATTGAATGTGAAAATTATTATGTATAAGATGACATGAACTGATGTGGAGTTTGATTATTAAAGATTACGTGAGTATAATAATATATGGGAAAAGGTTATTTTGTTTGATATTTCTTGTAAGGATTAAAGCAGTTGGAATTAATTTGTTTAATTTTCTTAGTAAGAAAGATTGTGAAGGGCGCTGGTGATAACTGATAAGGAAGAAGATGAAGGAGAAATTACCAAAGAGGGGAAAGTCTACAAGTTTGGGTTGATGATTAAAAAGAAAGTTCCAGGTCGTAGCCCTCATTTATTACAAGGAGAACAAGATTACCTGTCAGTTCCCACGCGCTCCCTTCTAGGATAGGCCACGCGTATTTAATTAATTTGCCTACCAGGATGGCGAGTGGTCAAGTGTTTGTGTTGCATCATGACGGGTGGGGTTTGGCGGGTTCCCTGCTTGCCCTCTGGCTGAGACCAATGACTTGAACTTCTGAAATTTCTTATATTGGCCGAAGTGTTCAGATTTGGGAATTTCCTGCGCATCACTCAAATTTTCCTTCAAATTTCTTATATTTGATTTTTTTTAAAATAATTAAAGTAAAAAAATCTTCAAGCTATATATATTTTCATTTAATTTAATCTAAATAATTTTTTAAATGGAGATGTTTTATATTTTTAAAGCAAATGCAGAAGTTTAAACTCGTGTAATATATGAATTTTAATCCAAGTAAAATTTTTAAATACTATTTTTTTGGTTAAGTAAAATTTTATTTATCCAAAAAAAAGCAGTAAAACTGCTACAAGAAACAATACAAATCACTATAACAGCCCCAATTAAGGCACAACTGCATATTTACAGCATCAATCCTATTCATATGACATCTATGAAGCTTAATTCTAACAGCCTCACTAATTTTATTTACAATTGAATCAACCGAACGAGTCACTCCTCTAAAACATCTGTGATTTCGCTCCTCCCAAATAAAGTAGACAAAACTGGTCCAAGCTAACTTGAGTATATGAATCAAGAGGGACTTACCTTTAAAATTCAGGATCATACAGTGTACAACATCATCCCAACATCTCGGCATTTGGTGTTGCAGACCACAAGCGTGCATAATTGCACACCAAACATCATTCGCATAGGAGCATTCCAAGAATAAATGGTTACAAGTTTCCTGACTAACCCCATACAGTCCACACAAATTGTCAGAAACAATACCAAAACGGCCTAGTTTGTCCTTTGTTGGCAGTCTATCCAGCAGCACCATCCAAGCAACTAAAGAAAATTTAAGGACATGAACTGGGAACCAAATCAGCCTATGTCAGTCCACCTTTTCTCTCCTTTCTCTGATATTGTCCCAAATCCATCTGCCCTTAATCTGAGACAAATTAGCCATAGGACTGAAAAGTCTTCTAGCCTCCTCCCTCACCTTAATCAGCTTGCAAAGAATCCAACTGAAGTGAGTTTTGCTGACAACCTCCCAATAATCTACTAATTTGAAATAGTAAGTCTTCACCCAAGCAATCCATATAGATCCATCCCCAGCAAGAATGTTTTTAATTGCATAAAGCAACAAGCCTTGCTCCAATCAACCAGCTTCCTAAGGCCTAAACCACCCTTAGATTTAAGGGTGCAAACCTGATTCCAGCTAACTCTAGCACCTCTTGCTGAAGTATCACTGCCCTTCCAGAAAAACCTCAAGCAAATATTCTCAATATCCCTTATAACCTGTAACACCCCAACCCCTATCCGACTTGGATACGAATCCGAGGTGTCACATTGACCTTTCAAACCATGTACTTGTATAAAATAGTGAGTAATTTAAAACTTTTATAACATATAAATGACTAATTTATATAAAAGAAAACATTTTCATTATTAAAAAATCAATAAGAGCGTGTATATTTCACTTATTTATTTACATATAACAATTCAAAACATTTATAAAACTGTTCATAGTTTAAACAATGTATTCTGTTGAAAACATGCCAACTAGAACTTTATATACTAAAATACATATTATTCACCTCTTTTCTGATCTAACCTTTAGTAAGGAGAACTGACCTGTCTTGCTCCACATTGCTCTTTACTCTTCTTGAAACCTACGTGTAAAATCACTTACACGCTAAGTCAAAGACTTAGTGAGGCAATAAACGTATAAGGTAAACGATAACTAATAATCATACATAAACAATTACTACTATCATTTCATTCAACTCATACTTTTACATGTAACAAATATATGCATACATATATGTCATTATCATTCATATCTCTTATCTCATGCTCATATGATCTCTTATGTCCATATCTTATATACTTATTATTATATCATCATTTCAATCAATTATACTCATTCACATATACTTTAACATGTACTCATGTATATCATATAACATATACCATAACCAATTGCATATATATATATCATGTCATGTAAACCATATATATATACTATCATTGATTCCTTTTATCATATGGTCTTATAAGTTACCATTTGTACAATCAATATCACACATAAAATTCCACAAGGAAACAAACATATTATCATATCACTTTTATTAATATTATCTATTTAATAGCCTATGATACACATGTGAGAACTAAAGATATGCGAGTACATACAGGTTGTGCACTAATGGTGTCACCACAGCTCATATAAATGCACCGAAGTGCCACGTAGAATTGCACCGAAGTGCCACGTAGAATTGCACCGTAGTGCCACGTAGAATTGCACCGTAGTGCCATACAATAATGTCAATAAGGACCACATATCATTCCTTAAGAATCATACATATAGACTAGGGATCAAGTATGTGTCTCACAAGACTTCACACATGTTCCAAAGAATATATATATATATCCCGAAGGACCACATAGACCCTCTACCCTTGGCATGCCAACTATACCTCTAGCTCTCATGACACATAACATGGGCATTATCTTTTATATCCTTTTACATATTCATGTAACCATATTATATATTCATATAAGCTCATGGTTTCATTCACATATACATGTAATCACGTAGTTCATGTCAATTCTCATATGAGTTCATATTCATATAAACATAGGATTCACCCTCATGTATCACATATACTTTCTCTTTCATATAGCTCATAACATTTCTCATGTGTTCATATGACATGTAAATCATTGTCATCTTATCATGTTAACACATAAACATATAATCTTACAATACATACAAAAACACATCAATACATATATTCACATATATCTATCATTTTATTATCCTTATTATTATTATTCTTATCCTCACCATTTATCCCTTTTACTTACCATATTCATATCGATAACACATATAAATCATAACAAACACATACTTCTATGAATTCATGCTTTTCACTATTGGAAATAGACTTATCGCAAGTCTTATTTTCCATTGAACCTCATATACTAAATAATGTGCACTCACCTTAGCCTTGTTTTCTTTGAATCAATCTTAATCCTTAGATTGTTCTAGAACAAGCTTCATTCTATATCTACATCATAATAATACGTTGATACATATCAGTATACTAATTGATATCTTCTAAATTGTCACTTCTTAGGCTAAAAGAAAAGCCCATTTCATCTTTTAATGAAGGTATGCATCGATGCACTGCACAGTGTATCGATGCATTCCCTAACGATGCATTGATGCACTACTTGTGTATCGGTGCACAAAATACATTCGATGTTTGTATTTTAAAAGAGTGCATCGATGCACTACCTGTGCATCGATACACCTTCAAACAATTTCTGGGTTTCAACCTTGATGCATCGGTGCACTATGAATATGCATCGATGCACTCTGCCTAGAATCCTCTTTTTGAACCCGAAAATTCATTCTTTTTGGATTAAATCCTTCATATTTCAACCCCTTTCATATTCCTAACTTACATATACATACTTAAACTCATTAATATTCATTTATCTCATCTTTAACCTTAATATCCTCTCATCTTTAGGAACTTCAAGAATCATACCCTATTTTCCACATGTTTCAAATCCAATTCTAACACTTAATACTTCTTAATTAAGCTGATGACAAGTCAAATTTAACTTCAAGTTCAACTTATCAACTTTATTCCAGAAATTCACTCAAGAACTCCAAATCTTTAATCCTCCCTAACTCATTTATCTTTTTATTTTAAGATAACTTAAGCTTTCCTTAAGCTTAAGTATCACCTAAGAATCATAACCCAACTTTTAATTCAACAAATAACCAACTAATTAAGAAACTCACCTTTGAGATGGAGCTTCAAGCACAAAGAAGAAAGGAGGAGAAGAGAATTCTGGAAACATTATTTTTGATTTCCTACACTCTCACGTGTAAAAATATATATTCCCACTATCACATTTTTAATTCCCTTAAATGATCAAATGACCATTTTACCCTTTAGTTCATTTAATAATTACTAACAACTTTTAGGAAATACTTTCAAATAAATCACTGAACTAATTCATTCTTCTACTTTAGTCACCAAATTCTGAAACTTTACAATTTGGTCACTAACCCATAGTTTGGGATGTTACAAATCTCCCCTCCTTTTAAAAATTCTTCCTCGAATTTTCACTGCACATCCTGAGAAGAACATATGTTCTAATGTTTTCATGTTGCTTCATTTACTTAATCTTTCCTGTCACCATCAGAAAACTTACTTTTCATTTCAATGATTAAAATACATAACCATATCTCAATCCACACCATACATAATTAGCTTACCCTAAAATCATCTTCTAATCCTTTAACTTTAATACACTACTATCTTATAACTCTGTTAGTCAACATCGGTTCTTCCAATCTAAAACGTAAACCTTCATCGAACCATTCATATACATTCTTTGCAGTCGGAATTATTTCAACAATAGTTTACTCAACTAATCAAATAAACATTCAATCTCATACACCATGTCACTTCCATTATTCAAGCTTAACATTCTAACTTCCTTTATTTATAAACTGATCATTGATGTACCCATACTTAAACTCTTCTTATCAATCCTTAGTTTTACTTAAACATTTGAATCCTCACTTCCTTCACTCTATCACTTTACTATAATCACAGTATACAATTGTATCCAGATTCTCTTCATATTTGGTTATCATAACCTACCATATCTTGAAATCTTGTAATTCCAATACATTCCATCCCATAATCTTGTTAGCCAACGCTAACTCTTTCCATCTTAAAAAAAAATAGTATCTACCTCACTTGATACATTTAAAATAATTCTTATCCTTCACATTATTTAATCTCTAGCAAAACACTTAATCCATTCCTCCACTTTCATATCTTACTTCACATCTATCTTTAACTTCTCATTTAATTATCCATAACCAAACTCTATCACTTAAGTAAGTCTGACTTTCATACAATTTGATCTTTTAACTTGAAATACAACTGATTCCAACTAAGTCGACAACCACTTTTTTTATATAAAAAAACCCTTTCAACACGTATAACACTTTTTTAATCTAGGCACTAGTCCTCTACATATCACTTGCAAACATCATTTTCATTCAAATTAGTTTCACAAACTTTCACTCTACTTATCAAACTATACTCTTGTCCATACACATTACAATTTCCCTCTGCCTCAAATTCATAAACTCTGACTTTATATATATATATATATATATATATATATCATACACTTGTCACTGATGCACTTATTCTGAACTCTCCTACAAATTCTCACTGCATCATTTGATCTTTTGACATTCTCATGGTGACAATTGTCCACCATACTCTAACTTGCCAAAGTAGTAACGAAACTACTCAATTTAATTTTCCCTCTTTGGAGAAATGAAAACCTTCTATCATATCATCTAACCATAGGTCTGTAACAACAGAACCTTCCTCAAATCCATCATTGAACTCGGGTGCTCTTAACTTTTTTAACTAATTCTATACATTCATTCTATAAGTTAAAGAAGTAAAAATTGAAAATTCATCAAAATATTCTTCAACATGGTGAAGACATTCCCTAAGTTTATACAGGCACTTCCTGAGGTTTTTCGCTCTTCTCCCTACCTGGCCAGGGCAGGTGAATACTATTACCTTCAGTCTATTGCCTTGTGCTTCACTTTGGAAGCTCTCATGATCATACATCTAATATAACATAACATTTTAATTCTATTAGCAATACAATACACTCCTTACACTATCAGATCAAAAATTATTCACTCTATGTTGGCATGTATACTTTTTAAAACACTTTTTACTTCGATTGATGCCTAGAATCGGCTAAACCGTACCTCTGATACCATTAAATGTAACACCCCAACCCGTATCCGACCTGGATACGAATCCGAGGTGTCACATTGACCTTTCAAAACATGAACTTGTATAAAATAATGAGTAATGTAAAACTTTTATAACATATAAATGACTAATTTATATAAAAGAAAACATTTTTATTATTACAAAATCAATTAGAGCGTGTATATTTCACTTATTTATTTACATATAACTATTCAAAAACATTTATAAAACTGTTCATAGTTTAAACAATGTATTCTGTTGAAAACATGCCAACTAGAACTTTATATACTAAAATACATATTATTCACCTCTTTTCTGATCTGACCTTTAGTAAGGAGAACTGACCTGTCTTGCTCCACATTGCTCTTTACTCTTCTCGAAACCTACGTGTAAAATCACTTACACGCTAAGTCAAAGACTTAGTGAGGCAATAAACGTATAAGGTAAACGATAACTAATAATCATACATAAACAATTACTACTATCATTTCATTCAACTCATACTTTTACATGTAACAAATATATGCATACATATATGTCATTATCATTCATATCTTTTATCTCATGTTCCTATGATCTTTTATGTCCATATTATATATCTTATAGACTTATTATTATATCATCATTTTAATCAATTATACTCATTCACATATACTTTAACCTGTACTCATGTATATCATATATCATATAACATATACCATAACCAATTGCACATATATATATCATGTCATGTAAACCATATATATATACTATCATTGATTCCTTTTATCATATGGTCTTATAAATTACCATTTGTACAATCAATATCACACATAAAATTCCACAAGGAAACAAACATATTATCATATCACTTTTATTAATATTATCTATTTAATAGCCCATGATACACATGCGAGAACTAAAGATATGCGAGTACATAGAGGTTGTGCACTAATACTGTCACCACAGCTCATATAAATGCACTGAAGTACCACGTAGAATTGCACCGAAGTGCCACGTAGAATTGCACCGTAGTGCCATATAATAATGTCCATAATGACCACATATTATTCCTTAAGAATCATACACATAGACTAGGGATCAAGTATGTGTCTCACAAGACTTCACACATGTTCCAAAGAATATATATATATCCTGAAGGACCACATAGACCCTCTACCCTTGGCATGCCAACTATACCCCTAGCTCTCATGACACATAACATGGGCATTATCTTTTATATCCTTTTACATATTCATGTAACCATATTATATATTCATATAAGCTCATGGTTTCATTCACATATACATGTAATCACGTAGTTCATGTCAATTCTCATATGAGTTCATATTCATATAAACATAGGATTCACCCTCATGTATCACATATACTTTCTCTTTCATATAGCTCATAACATTTCTCATGTGTTCATATGACATGTAAATCATTGTCATCTTATCATGTTATCACATAAACATATAATCTTACAATACATACAAAAACACATCAATACATATATTCACATATATTTATCATTTCATTATCCTTATTATTATTATTCTTATCCTCACCATTTATCCCTTTTACTTACCATATTCATATCGATAACACATATAAATCATAACAAACACATACATCTATGAATTCATGTTTTTCACTATTGGAAATAGACTTATTGCAAGTCTTATTTTCCATTGAACCTTATATACTAAATAATGTGCACTCACCTTAGCCTTGTTTGCTTTGAATCAATCTTAATCCTTAGATTGTTCCGGAACAAGCTTCATTCTATATCTACATCATAATAATACATTGATACATATCAGTATACTAATTGATATCTTCTAAATTGTCGCTTCTTAGGCTAAAAGAAAAGCCCATTTCATCTTTTAATGAAGGTATGCATCGATGCACTACACAGTATATCGATGCATTCCCTAACGATGCATCGATGCACTACTTGTGGATCGGTGCACAAAATACATTCGATGTTTGTATTTTAAAAGAGTGCATCGATGCTCTACCTGTGCATCGATACACCTTCAAACAATTTATGGGTTTCAACCTTGATGCATCGGTGCATTACGAATATGCATCGATGCACTATGAATATGCATCGATGCACTCTTCCCAGAATCCTCTTTTTAAACCCGAAAATTCATTCTTTTTGGATTAAATCCTTCATATTTCAGCCCTGTTCATATTCCTAACTTACATATACATACTTAAACTCATTAATATTCATTTATCTCATCTTTAACCTTAATATCCTCTCCTCTTTAGGAAATTCAAGAATCATACCCTATTTTCCACATGTTTCAAATACAATTCTAACACTTAATACTTTTTAATTAAGCTGATGACAAGTCAAATTTAACTTCAAGTTCAACTTATCAACTCCATTCCGGAAATTCACTCAAGAACTCCAAATCTTTAATCTTCCCTAACTCGTTTATCTTTTGATTTTAAGATAACTTAAGCTTTCCTTAAGCTTAAGTATCACCTAAGAATCATAACCCAACTTTTAATTCAACAAATAACCAACTAATTAAGAAACTCACCTTTAAGCTGGAGCTTCACGCACAAAGAAGAAAGGAGGAGAAGAGAATTCTGGAAACATTGTTTTTGATTTCCTACACTCCCACGTCTAAAAATATATATCCCCACTATCACATTTTTAATTCCTTTAAATGATCAAATGACCATTTTACCCTTTAGTTCCTTTAATAATTACTAACAACTTTTAGGAAATACTTTCAAATAAATCACTGAACTAATTCATTCTTCTACTTTAGTCACCAAATTCTGAAACTTTACATTTTGGTCACTAACCCATAGTTTGGGATGTTATATAACCCCCTTAGACAATATGATCTGCCTACACTAATAACCAAATAAACTGAAAATGACAGAATTCACAAGTTGTAATCTTCCCCTAAAACTGAGTTTCCTGCTAGACCATTTGTCAATCCTACCTTTAATTTTCACAAGTAAAGTAGAGCAGTCCTTACTCGTGAGCTTACGAGTAACCAAGGGCACCTCTAGGTACCTAACAGGAAGCTGGCCTATCCTAAAACCAGTAGCACTTTGGATCATTTCTAGCTCATCCCTAGCCACTCCACAAGCAAACAACTCAGTCTTCAGAGCATTCAACTTAAGACTAGAGAGTTCATAAAATTTTTCAAGAGTACTAACCACTCCCAACATAGCATCCAAAGACCCATGACAGAACAGAAGCAAGTCATCAGCAAAGCATAGGTGTGTGAGGGGAATTCTTTTACACTTAGGATGAAATCTGAAAACACCATTCTTTGCTACAGCATCCAGCAGGGAAGATAAGACATTCATAACAATTACAAAGAGATAAGGGGATAAATGATCCCCTTGTCTCACCCCCTAGCACCCTTAAAAAATCCCACCAAGCTTCCATTCAAAGAGATTGAATAACTAGGGGTAGTAATACAAGCTTTTATCCACCTCTGATTCTTACTCAATTTTTAAATACTATTTAATAATTACTCTAAGTCACTTTTTTTTTAGTAAAATCCCATTGACAATGATGACAGCCTTATTAGGAATCGACGATACATTCTGGACAACCAGAAGAATCTAAGCAGCATCAAACCATTTTAAACCTTTTGTATCTTCATCAATCTCAAGAATTTCACCCCACATGCTTGCTAATCTGGAAAAGAACGATTCTTCCCATACACTTCAGAGTACATCTTCAAGCTTTACACATAAATTTACTCTTCTCTTACCTTCAAATCCTTCCAGGAGCCAACAAAACCATCGGTGGAGGAATTCATCTCTCCTGGCCCAGAGAAGTGCACGACTTTCAGGAGACTTACAACGCACCACCACCAGTTGCTTATACCACGGGCATATCAGCGCTTATATACCTTAAGACTTGAAGGCTTCCTAAACTAAGACAATGTTGAACATCGCTTTTAGTTAGTCCGTTAGACAGCACCCTCTCCACTCCATCTTTGATTTCAGGATAGATATTTGAGTGGGATTTTCACTCTCCTGCCAGCAATGTTATAATCAACAAAGCTTGGTTGATCGATGTTGTCCTCATTCGACAAGATACCAATTTGGTAATTACATAGTATTTCCTCTACAAATTATTTATCCACTTTTAACGTTGCATTAGATTATTTATATAGTATTTCTCCAAAAGATTTTTACGACACCTCTCAATGACCGAATAGTCTCCTTTTGATGTAATGACTCTCTCTTTCACATTCACGAAACAAGATAGCCACAAATATTTATGTATTTATTTTAAGAAAAATAATTTAAATATTTAAAATTAAAATTAAAAATAAAATTTATAAATTTATTTTAACGAAAAATAATTGAATTAATTAAAACAATTACGCAAAAATAATTTAAAGATTTATTTTAATAAAAACAATTTAAATACATAAAAAATCATAACTAAGCCTTCTCCGAATGTGTCGATTTACTTAAATTAAACAAATTTATATTATACATGTATTTAGATTGTTTAATTTAAAAGGATAAACATAACGTCTTAATTAAATCAAAACAATACATGTTAACTCAAACATTTAACAATCAATAAATTTGAATGAATTAATCTCTGATTATAGGGTTAAATAAATAAGTAAAACACATTCCTAAATCGTACATTTTTTTTTAAAAAAATAGGGCATGAATATAAATAAATTAAATACAGCATATTTGAATTAAATGTGTTCAATAAACAAGTTCTAACACGAAATAGGGTATGAAAATTGTGATATTCTATGATGTTGGTCATTGCTTACAATTTTCGTAAATGATTGCATACATCTGGCATTAAAGGAATATTCAATCTAACTAGGACGAGATTCGAGGAAAAGTTGAGTTTCTTTTTCCAAAAATTTCGTCATCAACGTGGCTTTTTATATTATACAATATCTAATTGGACCAACAAAAACCCACTTTATTAATAGTTCGAATCTTAAATTATACCCTAATCCTCGTTCGATTGAATTCTTAAAGACACTAAATCCTTCTTCAATCGGGAAAGATTTTCCAAAACCATAAAAATAATAATTCTTTCTAGTCCTCTAACCAAACGGAAAAGAGGATAAAATCACCGGCGATGTCGAAGAAGAAAAACAATGGAGGGAATCACGACGACATGCAGTTTATGTTTGATGTTATATAGCCCATGTTCGAGCAAGAGTCCGTTGTAGTCTAGTGGGTTAGGATACTCAACTCTCACCCGAGAGACCCTGGTTCAAGTCGTCCCGGCAGTGGAATTTTTCGTTCTTTCAAATTATTATGAGAGGGAGCTGTTTAATCGTCGCACCTGCGAGTGAGTTTGAGAGGGAGTAATAAAAAGGAATCAGGGTTTTGAAACTGAATGGAACATCCAATGATTGAAAAACAAGATCCCTATATTTTCAATAATTTCATTGGACGAGATCGGTCGATACTCTAATTTATTTAAAAATTAATACTTTTACTACATTTTATATTTTAAGATAATTGTAATCTTAAAATAAATATTTTGATTTAAAATACTAAGATCAGGGACATAACTATTAAAGGGTTGGGAGGGGCCGTGGCCTCCTAACCCAATAATTTTTTTTTGTTGGATAATTCAAAAATTTATTACGCAAAATAGCAATGATGCTACAACCAATCAACAAATGATACAACAAAAGAAACTATGAACATACAAAAATAAACAAAAGATTGGTTAGGTTATATTCCAATCACTACAAAGAGAAATGTTAATACTATCGAGTCTATTAATGGATTTACCCCTTAGACGAATGCCTACAACATCCTTGATTTCTTTGAGCAAGGCTTCAACATTTCTTCGACGTCCCAAGAATATTCTGCTGTTACGTTCTTGCCACAGAAAATAAGTGAAAGCAGACCATGCAAGCTTCAATATGACAGTGATAAGAGACTTCCCTTTCCAAGTAGAACATGCCGAAGCTATAAAATCATCCCAACACGTGAGAGTGGAGTTCATACCATTAAGCTGCAGAAAAGAATTCCAGAGTTCGGCTGCCAGAGGGCAGTGGAAGAAAAGATGGTACCGTGACTCTTGGAAGAAGTTGCAATTGATACAAATACCTTCAGAACAGATTCCCATTCGTTGGAGGCGATCGAGAAGAACCGTCCAAGCAATCAGACTATGTTTGGGAACATGCAATGGGAACCAGATTAAACGATGCCAAGAAACCTTTTGATCATGTGTTCGAGTTATTTCCCAGATATCTTTGGTCTGCATGCCAGCAGTGAGAAGAGGGAATGCAGCTGCTCTCAGTTTAAATATCCATTTAATGCTCCAACTTACATTTGCTCCAGCTTAAAAATGCCAAAAGTCTTGGTTCTTAAGAACATAGTTGTTGAGCCATGCTACCTAGAGGGAACCGTTTCCAGCAAGAATCTTCCTGATAAGATTAAAATTACAGACCCTGCACCAGTCTTTTAAGTTTTTAGACCAAGTCCTCCCTCAGACTTTGTAAGACAGATACGTGCCCAGCTAACTCTAGCTCCAACAACCTTTTTATCAACTCATTTCCAGAAGAAATAGGAGCAAAGCTACTCCACCTTGGTTAAGATAGAAGCAGGCAGCATAAGCTGTCTACACCAATAATTACAGACACTATAAAGGACAGTTTTAATCAATTAAAGTCTTTCTGTATAGCTTAAGTTCCTACTAGACCAGATTTGTAGCCTTTGTTTGATATTAATGATTAAAGCTTCGCAGTCTTTATCAGTGAGCTTTGGAGAAACAAGAGGAATACCAAGATATTTGACAGAAAGAGAGCCAATTTTAAAGCCATAAATCCTTTTGATTTTTTCTGTAATGCCAATGGGAATACCAACAGCAAAAAGCTCAAATTTAGAAGAATTTAGCTTAAGTCCAGAAAATTGATGGAATTGATCAAGCTCACTAATCACACCAACCACCGAGTCAACATTACCTTTACAAAAAATTAGGAGATCATCTGTAAAAGAAAAGTGAGTGAGACCTAGTTTGTTGCATTTAGGATGAAATCCAAAGATTCTTTTGTTTGCTGCCAAATTAAGCATTCTAGTTAAGATATTCATAGCAAGAACAAATAAGTAAGGGGAAAGTGGATCTCCTTGTCTAAGCCCCCTAGCCTCTTTAAAATAACCAATCAAGGTACCATTGAAAGCAATAGAATATCTGGCTTGAGTAAAACATTCTTCAATCCAAGCAATAAATTGATGAGGGAGCTGAATAGCTTTAAGAACAACAGAAATAAATCTCCAATCAAGAGAGTCAAACACCTTGTGAAGGTCAATTTTCATGGAGCATCTAGGGGAAATGGTTTTCCTACCATACATTTAATTTATATATAAAATTTAAATATTAATGAGATAATTATGTAATTACCCCATAATTTTAGAAATTTATATTTTACCCCTCAAGATGAAATCTTGGTTTCATCCCTAATTAATATTTAGATAGTTAATGATTAGGATGAGTCTGTCACGCTCGACAAGCACCGATAGACACCACTAATGATGAGTACAATTAATTTAATTTATAAAAATTTAAAATTCTAAAAAACTCAACGTATAATTATAAATTAATTAAAATTTAAAGGTAAATTATTTAAAATAAAGGATAAACTATACTATTGCCCTTTTCATGTTGATGACCATTTTTTAAATTTTGTCAATCAAACACTCAACTCTTTAAATGCATTCAATTAAATTACTTATCGTTAATATTTAACAGAGAAGCTGATGTGACAGTTAAGTTACTATTGATAATTGTTATGAAAGTAATAAAGCATTGACGTGACAATTAATCCGACTCTGAGAGTATTATTTAACAAAATGATTTCACGAGGTCAAGTAATAGTAAACATTTTAGACTATGGTGTCAAATTAATATTAATAATCAATTTATTATAAATTAATAATTTAAATAATTATTTTTAAAACATTAAGAAAATGTTTTATTCGAACATTAATAATTATTTAAATGGTTTATCTATTTATTATATTATGAGATATATCCTTTGGTATCCATAGATTAATTTGTACAAAAATATAATTCAAATGTAGCTTTGGTAAAGATAGTGAACAAGGAAACATAGGCCCGCTTATTGTACCACGTTAGGGCAGCTTTAGTATATATTTTTAATTTATTATCGTTTTTGTCTTAACTCTATTTGAGAATTGTCTCAGGAAAGGCGAGTTAATATACGATGAATAAATTTGGTTTAGCGCTACCGGAAATGTTGAGTAATAATAATGTAGTAGGTCTAAATCATGAAGAAATATTAAAAACTTTGGCAACCGGAAAACTTCTTTTGTCGGTTTGTGTCGATACTTTATAAAAATGTATCGATCCATATCAATATAATAGGTAAAAATATGACAAAATCGGTTTCGAAAAGACAAAACCGGTAAAGCGCTACCGAATATATTGAAAGTGTCGATACTTTTTAAGTTTGTGTCGACACTTTGTGAATTTAAAAGAGAAGCAATTTTAGTGCCTATAAAGTGTCGATACTTTATAAAAATGTATCGATCTATAACGATATAACAGGTAAAAATATGAAAAAATCGATCTCGAAATGACAAAACCGATAAAGCGCTACTGGATATATTGAAAGTGTCGATACTTTAACATGAGTATCGACACTTTGGTAATTTAAAAGAAAAATATTTTTAGCGCTTATAAAATGTCGTTACTTTATAAAAATGTATTGATCCATAATGATACAACAGGTAAAATATGACAAAACCGGTCTCAAAAAGACAAAACTAGTAAAGCGCTACCAGATATATTGAAAGTGTCGATACTTTAATATAAGTATCGACACTTTGTGAATTTAAAAGAGAAGCAGTTTTAGCGCCTATAAAGTGTTGATACTTTATAAAAATGTATCGATCCATAATGATATAACAGGTAAAAATATGACAAAATCGGTCTAGAAATGACAAAAACGATAAAGAGCTACCGAATATATTGAAAGTGTCGATACTTTAATAAGTACGCGTAATAAATTATCGATACTTTCAAAGAAATAGGTAATTATACTATCGAAAGTATCGACACCTAACATAAAAGTATCGACACTTTGGTAGTTGTATCGATTAAATATAAATAACATATCCGGTGAAAATATAAAGGGCATAGTTAAATATCCTGTGAAAAATAGATAGAACGGACGAGTTTTTGAAATCTAAGCGCAATTGTTGTTGCATTTCAGAAGGCGTTTCTAAAGTAAAGTTTGTTTGTTTGTTGCTGTAGTCGAATTGAAAAGTACGTTGTCGAAACCCTAGTTTTTTATTAGGGTTTTTATGTGTTGTTTGGGGTTTTGGAGTAAAGAAGCATTTGAGACCGATTATAGGTAGAAAGTGATATTCTAGGTAAAATATAAATATCGATACTTTTATTAAATATTATAGGTATAAAATGATATTATAGGTTGTATAAATATGCCCATACTTGGAGTATTGAGTGTTCCCATTTGTTTGAAGGAAATAGGGATTAGGGCTTTTAGGTTTGGTTTAGGGATTTCGAATCGAAGCCAAAAAGGATATTAGATTGATTATATAATATTGTAGGTAGAAAATAAATATGGATACCTGTTTATAATATTATAGGTAGAAAATGATATTGTAGGATGTATAAATGTGCCGACACTTGTTGTAGTGGCCATTCAAATTCTTTTGAAGGAAACCGTTTTACTACAAGAGTAGTTATCGATATTTGTATATTGAATACAGTATATGTAACCAGTATTTGATTTGATTTGCGTAAACTGATATATAAAGGAAAAATGAAGTCAAAGGATCTTGGAATTATTGGTGGTGAAGATGACGTTGAAATTGAGTCCGAGATTCGAAAGCAACCCCAAAGAGTGGATCAATGTCTTTTTGTTATTATTGTTGAAATGGTAATTGGATTAAAGTATTTAAGAACTTTAAATTGATTACAAATTTTAAATGTTGACAGTATGACCGAATGCCAAAGGATGAAGGAAGGTGGCAAACACATCGGTTCGATATGTAAATTGAAATTGACATTGAGCATTATTTAGCATTAATATATTGATTAAGAAACGTTTATGCTTAATATTAGGTGAGAAATGATGTGTTGGAGAAATGGAATTCGATGAGTGATGCTGAGAAGGAACCTTACATAGCACAGTCAAAGATGGATAGTGAATAATACAAAGAATGGAGGAAAACACATGAAAAGAAGGTATTCATTAAACTTCTAAATACGTTGATACAAAATATATAAGAACTATAACATTATATATTGTTAAAAAAAGTAGGAAGTGTCGACAATGTGCAACATTAAAAGGGTGAATTCATTAATTAAACACATTAAGGAGAATGGTCAATTGAATGTACTGGGAGAAATGGGGTTTAGATCGTTGGTAGGAGTAAGGAATCGACCTATTCGGAGGGAATTGTGTCGATCCTTGATGGGGCAATTTGATGTCGAACAATGTATTGCTAAATATGGTGACTATTCATTTCCTCTGGGGATCTCATGTGCTGCAGCCGTCTTGGGGGTAAGAAATAAAGGCAAAAGTGTTGTAGAAGTCTCTAAGAGTAAGAACTGGAAAGCACTTGCCTCCAAATATGGTTTGAAAAAGAAGGTGACATATGCTGAACTTGAAGAGGAAGTCAAAAGTGGATTTTACGGGGAGGATGAGCTGAAGGCCCGAGTTCTATTGTACCTTGTCGGGATCTTTCTTTGTCCAACGGGTGATACGTCAACGAATAAGGACTATATGAAGCTCATTTGCGATGAAGGCTTGAAGGGTGAATTTAATTGGGTTGAATATGTCCATTCGAGATTGATTGAATCAATAATCACCTTTAAAAAGGGCAGCCAAAGATACCTCAAAGGGTTCATAGCAATCTTAGAGGTAAATGAGTTGAATAACGTTTTTGGTTTTTTATGTAAAATGATAGTATAGTTATTATATAAAATGATAAATTTTATTATAAATGCAGGTTGCACTGTTCGATTTTTGGTCAGGATATGAGGTAGTACCGGCTTATGAAAGAATCAGAGTGGCACGCATCCGTGCATGGAGCAAGGAAGAAGTGGCTAGAGTGATGGCGAAGTTGAAGTTGGATAGACTGATGAAGCAAGAAAGGGTAATAAATGTAATTAAATAATATTAAGAATATAATAATTGTCTTAATATTGTAATTTAATTTTGAAGGTTATTGGCAAGAAGGTAGAGGACGTAGAGGAGAAGGAAGAAGAGATTGTTGTATTAGGGGATGAAGGTGAGGAAAAACAGAGTAAATTCGACATTTTGATGTCTGAATTGGGTGATATAAAAAAATCCAACTTGATATCATGCAAAGACAATCAAGAGTCGAAGAGACACTTGAGAGAGTCGAAAAGACACTTGAGAGGCACAAGGGGAAAGTGGAAGGAAAAATAGATGGAGTGGTGAAAAAAGTTGAGGTATTGAGGTGTGAAGTGGTGAAAGAAGTTGAGGTGTTGAGAGGTGAACTTAAGATGGTGACAGGTGAAAAAATTGATGGAGTGGTGAAGGAGGTTGTGGAATTGAGGAGTGAACTTACGGGGGTGAAGGGGGTAGTTGAGGAAAACTTGGATGAAGGGGAAAAATTGAAGGGTGAAATAAAAGAGATGAAGAGCTATGTAAAGCAAAAATATGATGAACTAAAAAAATATGAAGAAGAAAAGATGGAGGAAGAAAAAAAGATGGAGGAAATGGGGAGGAAGGATGTCGATGTGATCTATACACCGGAGAGTGTTATAGATGCAAATTTGGATTCGGAATATACTGCACCCCAGAAGAAGAAGCATAAGGTAAGTTAAATAAAAGAAAACTTAATTTGATCTTCATCATGTTGTTGTGACAAAAATTTGTATACAAAATTGTAGGTTGAAAAAGCGGAGTTGATATTTAAATATTTCATGACAAGATATTAATCCTAATGATTCATATAGATATTCTATAATCTCAATGGGAAATCAATTCGCTAGTGTATCCGACGTTGCAACGTTGAAGCCTACGAAATGGGTTGGCGGTGTGGTAAGTAGAAAGTACAAACTGTTAAAACCTATTGAATATGTTCTGATTGTGTAATAATTTGCCAACAACAAAGTAAGTGTTGATGGTATTGTTAGCTTTTGGGGTCCCATATTGGATAACTACGTGAAATTCACCGACTGTGAGAAGGTAAGACACCATACGAATTGCAAATGATGTTTTCGGATATATAATGTTGAATTTTGTCAAATTGGGTGTGAAATTTGTTGCAGATCATAATCACAATAAACTACCATAATTCGCATTGGTATCTGTTGGTGTTGGATATGGTAG